TGCACGATCCTTCGCAGTAAAGCACTATTTGAGCAATAGTGAAAATCAGACCTGAAAAAAATTTCAGGCCTGTACGGGATTTGAACCACTGACCTCTGCGATACTAGTGCAGCGCTCTACCAATTGAGCTAACAAGCCAACTGGGAGCAGGCCGTTAAGTTGATTCGTAATAAACCCGTGATGATAAATTGGATATGATGATTATATGTAGTTCATATATTTTGAACTGCAGTTATAGATATGTATGATGCACGATCCTCGCAGTAGAAAGTGCTATTTATGCAATAGCGAAAATCAGACCTGAAAAAAATCAAGCCTGTACGGGATTTGAACCACTGACCTCTGCGATACTAGTGCAGCGCTCTACCAATTGAGCTAACAAGCCAACTGGGAGCAGGCCGTTAAGTTGATTCGTAATAAACCCGTGATGATAAATTGGATATGATGATTATATGTAGTTCATATATTTTGAACTGCAGTTATAGATATGTATGATGCACGATCCTCGCAGTAGAAAGTGCTATTTATGCAATAGCGAAAATCAGACCTGAAAAAAATCAAGCCTGTACGGGATTTGAACCACTGACCTCTGCGATACTAGTGCAGCGCTCTACCAATTGAGCTAACAAGCCAATTGTTAGAGCGCTCAGACTAATAACAATATACTATATCACTTAAATTATGGCTGATTATATGTTTACGTTACTTAAATATGGTATTTACAGTACACCACTGGCAATTACAATACTTTTCTTACATTATTCACATCTCTTTTTTTTTTTTTTCATTATTATTATTATTTTGCAATAACACATGATATGAACAAAAAAGCAAAAAAAAAAAGGTCTGTTGACAATATTAATTTGTATTTTACTACGTTAGATAAAGTTCTCAATTTTCCTTGTATAACTTGTAACTTATTAAGATTTTTCTCATTATTTTTACCACTGTTTATGTATCTTTTGTTAATAGGATAAGCAAATCCAGTTGGTGTCGGAGGTAATATGGCTAATGGCAGGAGGGGGGTAAATCTGAAGTAAAATTTGGTCAACAGATAAATTTATGTGGGTGTTATTAAAAATATTGAACCACGATAGGATTTCTGGATAGAATTGAATACTCACAGGGCACTGACCATTAGAAGGTGTATTCTAGTGAATCAGGATTTTTGCATTGAAAGCAGTAAGTCATCATTTCTGATTTTGAATTGCTTGAGTTCCTTATAGTGACATAATATTCTGGGGAAAACCTTATAACCAAATCCTGAACTTAGCTTTTTGTCACTTGTTGTTTTATAAGTTTTAATCGTGTAAGATCTGTTTCCAACCAGAGTCAAAGTTCACCAAATGTCTTGACCATCTTTTAACAGCAGTAGGTTCTGTCCTAATCTTTTCTTGAAGTAATTTGTGGTAATCTTTACATCTACATTTAGTTTGAGATAACTTTGTTTTTAGACTGATAGAAAATATCCCATTCTTCTAATATTATAATTTCTGTATGTTACAGCAGTTAATGCCTGTGCTTTTCTCTTCAAATAGTTTGGGATTGCAGCAAAAAGTTGAAAATTTTTAATAGTTTGGTTCAACATTATATATCCTTTGAAAATTTTTGTAGAGATAAGAACTTACTGTCTCTATTTGATATTAGTACTTTTCCAAACAAATATTTCCAGAAAATAGATTTGCTCTCTATTGTAATTTCTTTATTGTTCCAAAGTATAAATTCATTATTGTAAACATCAGGATAATCCCTGCGTAATTACTTGAAATACCGGTAGTTTAGCATATCGCTATAAAAAAGAGGCATTAACTTGTCAAAGTGCTTAGAGTTGTAATTACATTTCAATAGGAAAGATAATACTCCATATTTATTAAAATAACTATTAGGAATAGCTTGCCAGGTCTCATTTGTGAAATTTAGAAACCTGCCTAACCAGCTCAAGTGTAGTGATTTTACCACAGTGGACATTTGGGAAGTTCACACCACCATATTTTACTTCATCTTTTTTATTTTTCCTCAAGAATTTGAAAAATCTATCTTGCACTCAGTTTTAATAACTGTTTCAGGAACACTTAGCATTGAGGCCTGAATGTTTTCTGGTTTCTTTTCTGCAATTACTTATAAGACATTACAGTCTACTTGTGAGGATCATTTCTTTGCTTGATTCAATTTCATCTGCTGGTTTAATGAAATTTAATTGTGTCATGAGAAATTAGTATATCTTCTGTAATAACTGAACCACTTGTTCACCAGTCACCATTTGCTGATTATAGGATATGAAAAATTGAATTCATTTCCCTCGTGTTTTTATTTTCTTTTTTTTTAGTTTAGTTTAGTTTTGTTTTGTTTTTATAGAGATGACACAATGTCAGCTAATGAAAAATAGATGATTTGGCTGCACTTGTCTGGATTTCTACAAAGAACAACCTTTGGAACCATTTAAAAAGGTTTCAAGAGTCTAAGTTTAACATGATCTTAGGAAAGATCATTTCTTAATTCAATTCCTTTCAAAATTGTGAAAATCCTTAAAATGGTGATGAGC